GTAAATGGTCAGTTAGAATCTTAGATATGATTTATGACCTATCAGATTAGTTTACTTTTTAAAAATAAATTTAAAAATGATATTTGAATATTAATAAAATAAATAGTTTTTACGTGTTGATCCTAAATAAATCATATCTAATTTATTTAAATAATACCCAACAATTTTAATTTCCAGCTGCAATATTATTCTTTTTAAAATAAACAGCACGTAGGAAGAAATTAAAATGAAAATTAATAAGTTAAATGTTATTATTTTGATTTTATTTTATGAGCATTTGTAGCAAAAGTTAGGGTTAAACATTTAAGCATAACTTTCTCCCCATATTTTCCCATAAGTATCACAGGACTAGCATAGAGGTCCTTTATAGCCTTCATCACAGTTAAACTAAATATTATTAAAAAAATTAATTATCAATAGTAAATATTATCTTATATATTGAAAGAAAATTTAAAATAATAAAAAAAGGTATCGAAATAGGTTTCGAACCCAAACAAACAAATAAAATAAATAAATAATATTTAATCAAAAATTTAATTTTTTAGTGAAGAAATCTAAATTATAATTCAAACATTTAATTTTTAGAATAAAATCTAATTTTTCATTCATATTATATGCAAATAAAATTAAACCAAAATTAAATGTTTGATAAAAAAATTTAGATTTCTTCTATTTGATTAAACATTTTTTATTTTTTTCTTCTATCAGGTTCGAAACTAACTTAATTAGAAAAAAATCTAAATATTAATATTTATTTTACTTTAGATGTAGATAGCTGTGGTTAGCATGGCAAAGGATTTAAACTACAGTATAAAATATTATCTGTATTTTCGTTTTCTCTCCAATAACCTCTTTTTAACTAAATGTTAGAACCTTTACAGCTTGCTGCTGAATCAGGACATTCTTTACATTCTTTATCATTTAAACTCAAAGAGTACTTACCTTCAGGGCATTATTAACAAGCTATAGAATTCCCATATTAGACAAATATTTCTCCAATTGAGCACTAATCTAACTCTATTTTAATATTTAACTCTATTTATCCAGAATTGACTGCAATATTTCCTTATGAATCTTTTATTTATGGTAAAATATTACTTTCTATTTTGAGTATTATATTAGCTAATGGCTTATAAAATACTTGAACATCTAAGCTATAACCTCCATTTTAGTATTATTTTGTTTGAAGCTATCCAATACATTATATTTGTTCATTTTCTTAATCCCAAGCTATAGAAATACTTATTTATTATAGTAATGCCTACACATCAAGACTAAGTAAATTAAAATTTGCTGAATTAATGTTATCAAATTTGATAGGATTATCCTCTTCATCAATCAATTAAATTTTTTTGAAATTGATTTAATCTCCACTTTTAAATTTATGAATTTAAATATCTCCATTTTATTAAGATTTTTAGCTACCACTTGGTAATTCTATATTTTCTAAATCAATATACACCTTCCTTAAAGTAGAACCAAAATTTTATCCATAAATATGCCCAATATTATGCATAAAAGTATTATTATTGGAATTTCCATTTTATAAATCAATAAGAAAATCAGGGAGAATTTATGTATAATATATTCCACCACCAATTTAAGCTATATTAGATAATATTTCTGAATTTTATATTATTAAATTATTATTTTATAAGTAAATAGCCCCTCCAGAAGAAAGGAATGCTTTATTATCTATAAATTAACTTGAGTCTATATGTAAAATTCCCATTAAAATTTTATTTTATATGTAAATGGCTCCTCCATTTTATTATTTGCATGTATTAAGATAAAATTTTGAATTTTATATTATCATTTCTTTATTTTCAATAGCATAAATAACTCCACCAGGACCATTAATATTTGTATTATTTATAAATAAACTATTTATTATATTTACGGTATCACAATTTTATATGCTAAATATAGACGTATATTTATTAAGCGAGTTTACTACGTTCTTAATTTAAACATTTTGCAACTTAATATATTATAATTCGTTAAGAGATAGCAAAGGATTAGCACCAAATATTTAAAAATCCAAAAATATTATTTCAGAAATAAGAGCTTTTCCTTTATCACGTTATTAATTAATAGAAAGTATTGATATTTAACTGTTAATTGAATTGATTCTAGATATAAAAGCATCACTAAAGCTTTTAATATTAATAAAATTTATTTTCTCTCCTTAAACCTGTGAAAAAATATTTTTAATATTTGTTTCAATTATATTAATTTAATTAGCTTAAATATTAAAAACTGTAATTGAAGTTTCAAGGTTTTTGATATTTAAATTTTACAAAAAAATATTATCAGCTTCAAAATAGAAATTAGCATCTACAGAATCTTAAAGCTCTACATCATTTAAAAATAAAGTATCACATAGATACTATACTGAATTAATATCTTACTCTTATACCTATAAGATAGTATTATTATTTGATTATTAAGCTTTAATTTTTTATATAAATGATAAAATTGTGCTTTGTATGATATAAATTTTTGAATGTTAACTTAGGTTTATGAAAGTATCAACAATTTTTAGATTATTTACTTATTGTAAATTAATAAAATTATTTAAATAAGAGCAATTATTAATATTTATATTTGTAATATTCACCATATTACTTTGAGTAATTGAAAAAATATTACTTGAAGTTGAGTTAAAGAGATTAACTCCATTAATTATTACATTAGTATTATTAATAAGAGTAAATATAAACTATTAATTCATGTTTATATTATTTAAGAATAATTAATCAATTATGACTGATTAACAATTAGAAATTATAATTTAGCTATTATCTTCAATCTATAATACTAATTAGCTCATGAATACCCTATTAAAATTTTACAATCTAAACTAACCATTTAAATTTAAAGAAATGTTAAACATTGAGTAGTATTTCATAGTATTATTTAGATTTAATTCAATCTATGTATTGACTTAAAGAGACATTTCTCTAAAAAATAAACTAATAACTTGATAGGAAAAAAATATTTGATTTATCCATGAAATCTTATTTTAATATTTAGATGATAATCTCAACT